CTGGTGCAAATTACTGACCTCTGTCATCATTTTAAGTGGGGGAACTTGCACAATCGGTGGCTGACTAAATACTTTTTTGCCCCACTGTATATCTTTGTAGCATCAGGTTAAATGTCAGTTTTGCACTGTATGTCACTCTGATTTGTTCTGAATTGAAGGCAGGTGCTGTTGAGCATGTCTCAGGCTCTGTAAGTGTGCATTAAGGTAAATGTGGTGGTAAATGTCACTGCTCTACAGTCTAAATCATAAAACTCCATCTTCACTACAGTATGAAGTGGCATGTGGTACAGGTGGATTTCAGCCGTCAAATATAAATCACAAATAGGGAAAATGTCTAAATTTAAAGCTTTGCAAAGCACAACATCATCCATATGGGATATACAGTCAGGTCCATAAATATTGGGACATCGACACAATTCTAACATTTTTGGCTCCATACACCACCACAATGGATTCCAAATGAAACGAAGGAGATGTGCTTTAACTGCAGACTGTCATCTTTTATTTGAGGGTATTTACATCCAAATCAGGTGAACAGTGTAGGAGTTACAACAGTTTGCATATGTGCCTCCCACTTCTTAAGGGACCAAAAGTAATGGGACAGAATAAGAACCATAAATCAGACTTTCATTTTTTAATACTTGGTTGCAAATCCTTTGCAGTCAATCACAGCCTGAAGTCTGGAACACATAGACATCACCAGATGCTGGGTTTCATCCCTGGTGATACTCTGCCAGACCTCTACTGCAACTGTCTTCAGTTCCTTCTTATTCTTGGGGCATTTTCCCTTCAGTTTTGTCTTCAGCAAGTGAAATGCTTGCTCAATCGGATTCAGATCAGGTGATTGACTTGGCCATTGCAAAACAGTCCACTTCTTTCCCTTCAAAAACTCTTTGGTTGCTTTTGCAGTATGCTTTGGGTAGTTGTCCATCTGCACTGTGAAGCGCTGTCCAATGAGTTTTGAAGCATTTGGCTGAATATGAGCAGATAATATTGCCCGAAACACTTCAGAATTCGTCGTGCTGCTTTTGTCACCAGTCACATCATCAATAAATACAAGAGAACCAGTTCCACTGGCAGCCATACGTGCCCACGCCATGACACTTCCAGCGCCATGCTTCACTGATGAGGTGGTATGCTTAGGATCATGAGCACTTCCTTTCCTTCTCCATACTCTTCTCTTCCCATCACTCTGGTACGTTGATCTTGGTCTCGTCTGTCCATAGGATGTTGTTCCAGAACTGTGACGGCTTTTTTAGATGTCGTTTGGCAAACTCTAATCTGGCCTTCCTGTTTTTGGGGCTCACCAAAGGTTTACATCTTGTGGTGAACCCTCTGTATTCACACTGGTGGAGTCTTCTCTTGATTGTTGACTTTGACACACATACACCAACCTCCTGGAGAGTGTTCTTGATCTGGCCAACTATTGTGAAGGGTGTTTTCTTCACCAGGGAAAGGATTCTTCATTCATCCACCACAGTTGTTTTCCATGGTCTTCTGGGTCTTTTGGTGTTGCTGAGCTCACCGGTGCGTTCCTTCTTTTTGAAAATGTTCCAAGCAGTTGTTTTGGCCACGCCTAATGTTTTTGCTATCTCTCTGATGGGTTTGTTTTGTTTTCTCAGCCTAATGATGGCTTGCTTCACTGATACTGACAGCTCTTTGGATCTCATCTTAGCAGTAGACAGCAACAGGTTCCAAATGCAAACAGCACACTTGAAATTAACTCTGGACCTTTTTTCTGCTCATTGTAATTGGGGTAATGAGGGAATAACACACACCTGGCCATGGAACAGATGAGAAGCCAATTGTCCCATTACTTTTGGTCCCTTAAGAAGTGGAAGGCGCATATGCAAACTGTTGTAATTGTCACTGTCCACCGTTCACCTGATTTGGATGTAAATACCCTCAAATAAAAGCTGACAGTCTACAGTTAAAGCAAATCTCGTTTGTTTCATTTGGAATCCATTGTGGTGGTGTATAGAGCCAAAAATGTTAGAATTGTGTCAAAGTCCCAATATTTAGGGACCTGACTGTATATGAAGACTGATTAAAGCTCTGTGTTGCTAGGTGACTAGGAAGCTGGGAGTTCCCGCTCTGAAGCAGGCGATGGAGTGGTTTGGTTTCCACGGTGGCTCCTGTCGATCACCTCTTCAGCCGCTCACAGAGGCCGAGAGTCAGCAACTGAGGCGGGACTTCTCCTCCAATGGGTGGCTGTAAAGTGACCTAGGCGGAGCGAGAGTGCATGTGTGAGCGAGGTCACTATGTGTGGACCTATTAGCTGTTGGTGTAATTATATCATAAAGGGAAAACACAGCTGCCCATGAAAATAAATAAATAAATAAATATTCAGTTCTATCCACTGTTGATATTTATTGAGCCAAATCCAAAAACCTGCAAAAAACTCCCTTACATTAAAATAAATGTGTAAATCAATTAATCCAACTTCAAAGTTCTATTTGGTTTTTGTTCTTCTTTTTCTTTGACCTGGACTGACAGAAATTTTCTTGGCCAATTCCAATTTTTCTCCAAGTGCTCTGTACTGCGACTGATTAACTGAAAACGAGTTGCTGTACACCCGCGTGTCCCTGATATATTTTAACTTTCCACGTAATAGCAGGTGCAGAATATATTGTATAACAAAACAATTTTTCAATTATTTTGACTATTTTGAGCCATTACTAATACTGAGGCTGCTAGCTTCTGGCTGATACTGAGCTTTGTTAGCTTCTGTAAAATGTTCAACTGGCTGAGGTTGATTTAAGTGTCTGCTTAGGTTTGTTGTAACAAACATTGTCGTGGTGGTCCCCCCGTGGTTTACTTTACCAGACTTTGTGTACATATATATGTACACAATGTTATATAGTCTATAAAATCTACACCATAAAACATGTAGCAGCTGACATTACAGGTAATGGATCAAGCCAGCAGAAGCCAATCAGACTCAGGAAGAAAAGTGCCTCTGGCAGTGCAAGCCACCACTTTAAGGTGTTTATACATTAAAACACTACAAGTATGACAATGTACACAAACCAGAATAAGAAGCCAGTGACAGGCAATTAGCTGCTGATCTTTCCTGTTGTTTTTATCATGTGATCAGTTATTTATTTTCATATTTTGTTCCACTAAAGCAAGAGGACAAGTGGACGTAATAAGAGATTCCAAACTAGGGACACTTTTTATCAAGTGCTTCTTAACCTCAGTCTTACACAGGGAAAAACAATACCCTCATATTTTAGCCTGTAACTGTTATTTTTCTTCTTTCAAGGAGGTTTTGTGATTACTCTGTCTGGTTTGTTTTTTTGTCCATTTGTTAGAGTTGTTGCACAAAAATTATTTCCATGAAAATCCTGCCAGGGGTCGCTCGATGCAACTTATGGATCCCTTCAAATCTTTACGTATTAAATTGAAATAGGAAATATGTCAGCCATTGTCTTAATGTTCCCAAGATACCAATAACTGACCTGGATTGGTTCATAGCGAGGAGTGGCTTTTCAGCCTAGTGTAAAAAGTAGATTTGTGTATAATTGGCGTGTAATGCATTTGGCAGATCATGACCTGTTTGACTTAAGCTTTGAAATGTGGGACTTGGACCTGGAACTCTTTAGTCAAGACTCATGTGTAACTTAGGAAACAATTACTTTGTCTAATCGTTAGTGGATGCATAAAAATACAGAATTTGTAGTCTCACAGCAGTAGACAGTAAATGGAAATCACCTGACAGTGGAGTAAATATGAGTTATTTAATCACAGTATTGTCTGTTTTGTCATTAGAAATACAGTGGTCTCACAGGGCATGCATTTTATACTTTGGACATTTGCACCTACTGCAATGGCAGAAAGTCATTTGTATGCATCAGCCTCATTAGTTTAAGATGCCCTGTAACCTAAAGGTAATTGTCATGTAATTACAGCACAGCCTTGGCATGCTTTGACCTCAGGAGATGTCTTATTATTCAGAATACCTCTGTAGAGCTATTGTATGGAAACTAAAAGTACAGCCAGGCCACTTGTAACCTCAGGCTGAATAACACTGAAGCCTCCCAAGGTCTTTGAAAAATAAAAAATTTGGAACAGAAAAACTATCACATCATTTGCTCTTATTTAAATCAGTCATGCATGTTCAGTGTGTTTGTGTGTGTGTGTATAAAATATCTCACTGGGGAATGATGCCCATACTGTTTTTTCACTCATTTCCTGTGCTGATATTTATCTAATATTAGAAAAAACAAACAGGCATTCTAGAGCAAATGTGCCCCGTGCCCTTCCTTGGCCAGACAGCACTGAATGATGTGTTCATGCATGTCTGAGATTAGGTCTGGCCACCAAAAAGCCAAAGAAAAGTTCCTCATCTCAAATATAGATTTGATAAATGTTTTCAGAAAGACCTGAGATCAGCTAGAGTTCAGTGGGAGGCAGAGCTGCAGGTCATGGTCACAGTTTGCTGCAGAATACCAGAGCGCTCTTTGATGTGAAAAAGTTAAAAACCATAATTACTGTAATTAAAGCCGTGTAGCAGGTAGCCATGGCAATGAGAGCCTTTGGCTTTGTCACATAGCACTTTTTTGCTTTTATCTTACCATGAGTCCAATTAGCACCTTTCTTAGCAGGAGATATTTTCAGAAATACTTACAGGACCATAAAAAAAAGGAGGATATGTTGTGTTTTCTTCTGTTCCTGTGCGACAAGGACACAGTACAGATGGAAAGCTCTGAGTATAAACAGTTTTGATTAAATCACCTGCCACTCAGTTTTAAGGACATCTGTCTTACAAGCACAGTTGTAGTTTATAAGTAATGTTTAACCCTTGGTCTGAAAATTTTCACTGTTTGAGAAACTTTGAAATTTTTTTTTGAAAATACACTGCTTCACTGTGACAGACCTTTGTTACTGTGATTATTTGGCTTTGTCAAATATTGGAAGCATTCAGAGCTATTGAAGACACCGTGTCCTTTATTTGGGAGAATGTCTCCGCATAATGACATGTGACATTTTTTTGTGTAATACGAGAATGTTCAGTGACTACGTGTGCCTTGTCTGTAAGACTGCAGAAAGTAATTTCCTTTAGAGTACATGGCCTTATAACAAATTCTTTCTTCGTGGCAGGAGTGAAAGATAAAAATCCAGATTTTGTGAATAAAAGTGTACTTTAGTGTCACCTTGGTTTTCAGGGGCCTGCTTTCTTTGCTGCAATACACACTTTTTTGTGTCAATTTTACATTCAATTATAAGACCTTTAGTCACTGTTAAACAAAGTATTCAAGGACTGGTGTAAAAAGTGAGTTACTGAGCACCACGTCTCTAAAAAGTCACTATGACTTGAAGCTGTGAGGGATAGTTGGCCTCTGCCTAAACTTTTCCTCACCTGCTTGTTGGATCCGGAGGATAAAGGGGAAATATAATATAACCCAGTGCAACTACATACTTTTGGAGACAAAGCTTCTGCAATCTGATACCCAGACATACATCCCCCACCCTTGATATTGCTCTGCTAGGTACCAAGATAAGTGCAGTTTTATATGAGGTCACATTTCCTTGAAAAACAAGTTTATAAGTTTATCTTCGGTACCGAAGACAGAAGAGGAGTTTGATATATAATACAAAGAACCCCAAGTTTCTCCCAATGACAAGCCAGCACCTTGTCATACATATGAGGGTGTATGAGTTTTTGGGAGTCAGTGGGTGAATAACAAACACATTATAAAACTCTTTAAGAACTGCCAAAGTTTAAAGAAATGATTTCCTCTGTAAGTGCACATCATTTCCCCTTCACCAGAGACAGCGCTGCAATCAAAGCCCAGCATTATCACAGTAGCAGGAAATAAGTTATCCTTTTAAAAGTGTCATGATGATAACGATAACTGATATTTTGAAATGAATAAAGATGAAGCAAAGCTACAGCGTCAGCAGCGATAATATTATGCAACTGTTCTTTTTTGTGTGCTTCTTTTTGCAGCCATGGTTACCTCCAGGTGCTTGTATTTTGACTCTAATTACCCAAAACCAAGACACACACACAATTATGAATTTGACTGATACGGTCATTGCTTTTATTTTTCTCTCATTTTCTTTTTGCGAAGTAAAAATCAGATGTTATATCACGTGAATACTAATTAATTAGCACTCATATCCAGAAACTGCTTAAATGATTAATAACCATAATAGATGGTATTAGAGAAAATAACATGGGGAATACACTGTTAGTGCAAGTTTTACAAATGTGCTGTCAACATGTTGCGCTGTGCCAATTACTAAGTGTTTCCTTATTAGTTTATCGCAGCTTTTAAGCTGAACTCTGCTGCCCAGTGCTGCAGTCAAAGTTGACGAGAGCACAGCGAAGCCTGAACCGCGCTCCACAGAAACAACAGTGTGAGCTAAAAGAGGCAAAAACGTCAGCAGAGCTACAGAGTTGATAATAATCTTTTGTTTTTGCTACTATGAGTGACCTCTTTTCATCCAGCTAATGGAACCAGCCTGAAACACAAAAATTGCAGTAATAATAATAATAATAATAATACAGTAGTTAGTGGGGCTTTTACATGGTAAGTTAATAGTGGCCTTCTATAAAATAAGGTCTATTCAAAACACAAGTCAACAGTTTTTTTGTGTGTTTTTTTAAGTTCATGAAAGCGATTTCAGGCTCTGATCCTGCAGAGTTTGAAAAACATTCAACTAATGAGTTCATATTAATAAACCTGCTCAAGGATTTCTGATAATATGAGGTTTCTTCTTTTTATTTCATCTGTGTTTAACCTCTTTCCAAGGGCGGTCTTGTTACTGAAGATTTTTGCCAAAGAACTAAATAACGGAAAATCTTCAATAGGATCCTTAAATACTTATTCCTGTATGTCTCTTGTTGCTGTGGTACCTTTCAGTCCTTTCAGACACCAGAGGAAAAGTGTCCTAATGTTTGATCAGCTGTGTTCTTAACTGTTGACCCCTGAGGTCTGAAGCCTCGGTATAATTTAAGCATTCACGCTAAGTGTCATCATAACATTTTGAAGTGTTGTCTTCACTTATTTCAAAAACCTTTTGGTAATTGGTTTCCTTTATCATTCTGTGAGGTGCAGTGGCTCTAAGTGACCACATGGAGGCGACACGCCCCACCGCTGCTTCTGCACTGTCAAGGGCATCCCTTTGATATGGTTCGGGTGATGTCTGTGCTCCCAGTGGGCAAACAGTAGGAGGGGGGACTGGCCTCTATCTCACTCCTGCTCCTGGGGTGAGCAAGTGGCGAGTCAGCAAAAGAGGCACAGCATCACCCGGAGGAGCGTGACGATGACACGGCGAGGTCATCGCAACGAAATCTCCCAACAAATACGCTCTCTCTCCCCCCGCTGCCTTCTCTGCACATCATCATCCCTCCACACCTGACGATCTGTCATCTGTCTCCCCCTCCTTTCCTCTCTCGACCCTGCCCTCACTTTTCTTTCTCTTCCCTCTCTCCTCTCTGCATCCCAGCCCCCCCAGGCAGTGTGGTGACCTCTCTGCGTAGTGTTGCATGTACAGCCCAATCCCTCTCTCCTTCTGTGCTCCTTTCCTTCTCCATTATCCCCCATCCTGGTCATGCCACAGATTAAAACCAAACTTAAAAGATTCCCCGATCCCTCCCATCCCCTTTTTTTTCCTTTCCCATTTTTCTCTCCTCCCCCATCCTCTCTTCTTCCTTCCCCTGTGATTAGCTACTGCCTGACTCACGCAGCTCTCCCTCCTTCTCCCTCTTCCCGAGAGGCACAGTTAAGATGGCTAAATATGAAATATCTTTTGCTCTTAACTTTGGCCTTCCACACCGTTTTGTGAGCTTCGTTGTGTAAGAGGAAAGACTCAGTTACAGCCTACCACCATGGTTAATTACAGTGGCTTGCAAAAGTATTCAGCCCCCTTGAACTTTTCCACATTTTGTCACATTACAGCCACAAACATGAATCAATTTTATTGGAATTCCATGTGGGGTGTGCGTAATTATTCAGCCCCCTTTGGTCTGAGTGCAGTCAGTTGCCCATAGACATTGCCTGATGAGTGCCAATGACTAAATAGAGTGCACCTGTGTGTAATCTAATGTCAGTACAAATACAGCTGCTCTGTGACGGCCTCAGAGGTTGTCTAAGAGAATATTGGGAGCAACAACACCATGAAGTCGAAGGACACACCAGAGAGGTCAGGGATAATATGGCTGGGTATCGTCACTGATTTCTAGAATCAATTCGATTCCGATTCACAAGGTCCCGAATCGATTTGATCCACGATTTGATTCAATTCGATTCAATTCGATTTGAATCTGGGAAATTTTGCCTCAGACAGTCAGAAATATTATAATTCAGATAATTTACATATTTTTGTATCTATAAAAAGGAAGCTGACACTCGCAAGACTTTATCAAAGGTGTGAGCATCACAGCAGATGCCTTTGTGTCAAAGTAGCTGAAGATAAAACACAGAAAAACATGAAGGTGATTTTCCTGACCTGGGATTTTATAAAAATATTCTGCAGTACATCAAAAACGAAAGAAAACCATTAATCAACTTAAGCACATTACCTCTGAAGTTACAACGGTTTTATTAGAGACACGGCTGCATTTTGCACAATTTTAAAAAGTTTAAATTTGTTCAGTAGCCTATTGAACGACAGAAATTAGGTTTTCTTTTCGGAAGTAAGTAAAAGGAAAAAAAAACAGCGGCCAACGGCGCTGTAAACAACGGTAGACTTGTGCGTAACAAGCAAGCGAATGATGTAGAAAACAGATTTTTAGACGGGAAAACTGGTGTTGAAGTACAGAGAGAGAGAGAGAGAGAGAGCTGTGCATGAAGTGTGATTTCATCGTGTTGGAAGCAAAACAGTAAAAGTCAGAGTGAATCCATGACGATGTTTATGTGAAGCGTAGTTTGGATCTTCTTTTGCCGCTGGTTCAGTCAATATTGTTTGGAGAGAGATCAAACTAACAGCTTTAGAATCAGCGCAAAAAGGGCGTAAACACAAAGCGCGGAGCCGCCGAAACATCGGAATCAGGAGCTGTCGGCTTTCAGCCCCGACCGTGTCCGTGCTGTAGGGTGAGAAAGGCGACATCTCACTGATTCTGATCCGTCGGCGGGTCCGAGCTTTGTTTTTACGTCTTTGTGCAGAATCCGTGTTCCTGCTCTCATTTACTGTTTTAGCTGTTTGGTGGTTGTTGAAATTTTGTGAGGTTTAACCTGAGATTCTGGCGTTTTGGGCTAAATACATTTATATTAAAAAATTGATTCATGATTTTAATGAATCGATATCACGTTATCCAAGCCAGAATCGATTTTAATCGATAAATCGCTTATCAAAACCCGCCCCTAAGGGAAAAGGTTATTGAGAAATTTAAAGCAGGTTTAGGCTACAAAAAGATTTCCCAAGCCTTGAACATCCCACGGAGCACTGTTCAAGCGATCATTCAGAAATGGTGAATGAAGCTGGTCAGAGTTGATGGGACGATGGATGGAGCCAAATACAGGGCAATCTTAGAAGAAAACCTCTTGGAGTCTGCAAAAGACTTGAGACTGGGGCGGAGGTTCACCTTCCAGCAGGACAACGACCCTGAACATAAAGTCAGGGCAACAATGGGATGGTTTAAAACAAAACATATCCATGTGTTAGAATGGCCCAGTCAAAGTCCAGATCTAAATCCAATCAGTCAAAGTCCAGATCTAAATCCAATCGAGAATCTGTGGCAAGATCTGAAAACTGCTGTTCACAAACGCTGTCCATCTAATCTGACTGAGCTGGAGCTGTTTTGCAAAGAAGAATGGGCAAAGATTTCAGTCTCTAGATCTGCAAAGCTGGTAGAGACAGACCCTAAAAGACTGGCAGCTGTAACTGCAGTAAAAGGTGGTTATTTATTTATAAAATATGTTTGGAATCCTGTATGATTTTCATTCCACTTCTCACGTGTGCACCACTTTGTGTTGGTCTTTCACGTGGAATTCCAATAAAATTGATTCATGTTTGTGGCTGTAATGTGACAAAATGTGGGAAAGTTCAAGGGGGCCGAATACTTGTGCAAGCCACTGTATATCAGCGCACAATATGTAGGCAAAGCAGCTCAACATGTATTTGTTTGGTTAACAAGTAGCGTTTATGTAGTCACAGTTTTTCTGCCCCATGAAATTTCTGATCTTACTATTGTTCGTACTCTCT